CCCCGACACGGGCCGCGCGCAGCGCGTCTTCGCGGACCTCGAGGCCCTCGTCGCGACGTTGGCCGCCTACGACTTCGTCGCGACGTTGGGCCTCATCCTTCTGGTGGGCCAGACCCTCAAGGCCCTCCACTTCCACCCGCGCTACGGCATCATCTCGAAGACGATCGTCAACATCGCGCACTCCATCGGCTTCTGGATCATCCTCTTCGGCATCATTCTGGCGATTTATTCCTTTCTAGGGGCCCTCCTCTTCGGCAGCGACTACGACGAATTCGCCGACATGACGAGCGCCTGCGTCACCATGCTCGCGGCTCTGTGCGGACTCTTCGAGTACGACCGGCTCCCGTCGGACGACGCCATGGCCCAGATCTTCTTCTGGTCCTACATGTTCCTGGGCTTCTTCGTGCTGTTAAATGTCTTGCTCGCCATCGTCGTCGACGGCTACAGCTCCACGACGGCCGTCAGGCGCCGCGACCCGACGGGCTTCTTCGTCCGCGCGTTCTTCCGCGGCACGGGCGCGCACCCCGCGTTCGTCCCGGCGCCGCTCCTCGTCCGCGAGCTGAAGCGCCTCGGCGCCGCCGACGCCGCCCCCCGGAGCCCGACGCACGCGCGGGTCTGGGCCGCGGCGACGCGCGCCTGGGACGACGAGGAGGCCTTCTGCGCGGGCGTCGTCGCGTGGCGGCCGGGCCCCGACGAGCGCGTCGTCGCCGTCGACGTCCTCTGCCTCACCGTCGCCCTCTGCGCCGCCGCCGCGGACCGCGCGGCGGCGGCCGCCGCGGCGGGCGGTAAAGGCGCCGACGCCGTCGACGTCTCCTTCTGGGCCGCCGCGGCCGTGAACCTCGCCGCGCGCTACGGGAGCTCGACGAGCGACCTCGACGGCGACGGCGAGACGACGCCGGACGAGGCCGAGGCCATCCGCCGGCTCCTCGAGCTCCACGGCGTCGTCGACCTCCGGGCCCTCGCGCGCGTCTCGCCCGCGCGCGCCGCGACGATCGACTGGCGCGGCATCTTCCGCCACATGTACAACTACGCGCAGGGCCACACGGACCTCGCCGTCGCGGGCCTCCTCGCGCTCGGCGCGGGCTTCGAGTACGTCGACGACGCGGCCCCGGACGACGAGCCCCCGCCGATCGACGTCCTCGTCGACTGCCGAGGCCGCCCGGACGTCGCCCGCGGAGCCAGCGAGCCGATTAATTTCATCTGCACGTACACGGGACCACCGCGACACACAAAGACGGCTTTAGCCCATGCAGAGCCCCCCGCGCGGCGGCGCGACGTCGGCGTCGTCGACGTCCGGCGCGGCCTCCGGCACGACTGGCTTCATGACGAGGTACTCCTCCTCCTCCTCCACCGCGGGCGCCGTACACGCCCCGAACCAGCCGGACCGCGCCGCCTCCGCGCAGGCGACGGACGCCTCGGCCTTGAGGAAGTCGTCGACGTCGTCGTCCGTCTTCTCCGAGAGCGACGCGCGCTTCTTCTTGTCCTTCCGCGACGACCGGCGCCGCTCCCGTTTCTCGCCCCGGTCCGCCGCCTCGCCGTCGCCGTCGCGCTTCGCCCGGGACGACGACCGCCGCTTCTCCTTCGGCGGATCGCGGCCCTTGTAGAGCAGCTCCCGGCCCTTTGCGGCGTAGTACGCGGCCACGGTCGCCGCGTCCTCGTCCTCGCCGGGCGCGTCGGCGAAGGCGACGGACTTGCGCGCCGGCGCGTCGCCGGGGTCGTCCGCGGCGCCGGGGTCGTCCGCGGCGGCGGCGTCCGCGGCGGCGGCGTCCGCGTCCTCGGCGAACGCCGCCTCCATGGCGGCGTCGACGGCCTCCTCCCGCGGCGCGTCCTCCCGCGTCGCCTTCGGCGGACGCTTCGGGAACACGCAGCAGGACGCGTAGCGCGAAAAGCGCTTGTCCCAGCGCGCCTTGCGCCGCGCCCGCTCCCGCGCGTCGAGGTCCTCCTCGTCGTCGCTCTCGTGCTCGTCGCGCAGGTCGCTGTCCCGCGTCGGCTTCTTGAACTTGGGCGGCGGCCGCTCGAGGCCGGGCTGGCCCGTCGTGTAGAGCTTCCCGCGGCCCATCTCTCAAACGACGGGCAGCATCACCAAAAGAATTAAATCAGGCTGCATCTCCCCTTCAATAACGTGGTATTTCCTCTCGGGCAGCCTCGGAGCACTACCACCCATCGAGAGCATGGCGGCGACGACGAATCCGCTCGCGGCCGAGGCCGCCCGGCCGGCCGTGCACTTCCCCAGCGGCGCGCCGGCGCCGGCCGTGCACTTCCCCAGCGACGCGCCGGCGCCGGCCGTGCACTTCCCGCCGTCGCCCGGCTTCACGACCGTGGCCTTCGAGGGCCCGCGCCTGGGCCTCTCGCTGACGCTCGTGCGGACGCCGGCGCTCGGCGGCGGCTGCTCCGTGCGCGTCGAGGCGCTCCTCGACGGGTCGCCGGCGGCGGCGGCGGGCGTGCGGCCGGGCCACTGCCTCGTCCTCGCGAACAACCGGGCCGTCGCGCCGCCGACGGACGCGTGCGGCTTCGCGGCGCTCACCGCCTCTTTGCAGCGCGCGGCGCGGCCGCTCCGCCTCGCCTTCGCGGAGCCGCCCGCCGACGAGCGCGCGCCCCTGCGCACCGTGAACCTCGCGGCGCTCTTCGCGTCCGGGCGCGCGCACCTGGGCCTCGAGCCCGCGGCCGACGGGCTCCGGGTGGAGATCATGACCTCCGCGGCCGCGGACGCGGGCGTGCGCGTCGGCGACGTCGTCGTGGGCCTCGACGGCGACTTCCGCGTCGCGCACGCGTCGCGGAGCGAGCTCAGCCGCATGTGCCACGCGCTCGCCAGGGCAGCACAAGGGTGATTCAACGTCGCTTCAACATGAGTGTTCCGCGCACACGCTTTCCGGAAAAAGCATCCACGCGTCGAGAGCGCTCCGAGAGATGATCGCTCGTCCAAAAATTAGCCGAAACGAGTGGAAACCGGCCGAGCTAGGAGCCTTTGAAGTTGGGAATTTCGCTCTCTTGTCCTGCCCAGGCGCTCGCGCGGTCCAAGAGCCGCCTGCCGTCCGCGGCGACGGGCGAGTTCGACGCCGCGCGCGACTACTGGGCCGCCGTCCGCGACGCGCGGGCCGTCGACCTCGTCCTCTGCGACCGCGCCTGGGTCGCGCCCCTGCGCGCGGGCGCGGCGCTCGGCCACGCGGGCGACAACGGCCTCGACGGCGCGTGGGACGGCCCGCTGCCGCCGCTGCCGGGCCTCGCGGACCTGCCGTCGACGCCCGAGGCCGACGGCCACGGCGCGGCCGACGAGCTCGACGCGGACGCCGTGCGCCAGAGCGGCGTCGGCCTCGTCGTCGCCGACGTCGAGACGGGCGAGGCCAAGACCGTGCGCTACGAGACGACGGCGACGGACCGCGCCGTCGCGTCGTTCCTCGCGAAGCGGAAGCGCGCGCCCGCCGCCGACGCCGGCGCGTCGCTCGACCGGGACGCGCTCGTCGCCATCTCGACCTTCAAGCGCCTGCTCGTCGCGGGGCTGCCCGTGCTGAAGCACGGCCGCAACGGCGAGCGGCGCGAGATCGTGCTTCGCCCCACCAAGCACTTCGACGGCGTCCGGTGGGCGTCGCGGCGCGGCCAGGCCGCGGGCACGTGCCTCTTCGCGGAGATGGCGTCCGTGGACCCGGCCGTGGAGCCCCACGTCGAGCCGCCGACCATGGCCGCGGACATCGCGCCCGTGCTGAAGCGCAACTGCCGCCCCGCGGAGCTCGCGCGGTCGTTCTCGCTCCGGCTGAAATCCGGCGGCGACCGCGCGGCCCTCGACTTCACGGCGCCGTCGAAGGAGTACTACGCGCTGCTCACCGACGGCCTCAACGGCGTGCTCCTGCGGCCGGACAAGATCGTCAGGCACGAGGCGAAGCGGGACAGGCTCGTCGACGTGCTCCGCGCCGAGGCCGAGCGCGAGGCGCGCGCCGCGCGGCTGCGCATGCTCCGGCCGGACTACTGGTGCGCGGCGGCGAGAGCCTGGTGCGCGACGACGGCCGACGACGCGCGCCTGTCCGTGTCCGAGCTCGCGGGCACGCGCCACACCATCCGGCGCGCGCGGAGCGTGCGCGCGGCGTCGCGCGCGAAGCTGTCGACGCAGCAGCTCCACTCGTACGCGCAGTCCCAGCGGCGCCTCGAGCATTTGCACGGCCTCGTCCACCTCTACGACGACAAGCACATCCCCCACGACCACGTCCACCGCTACCCGCTCGCCGAGGGCACGTACTGCGAGCTGCTCTTCAACGCGAACCTGTCCTACGGGAGCTCGCAGCCCGACGTCGACGTCGCGCCCCTCGTCGCGGTGCTCGAGGCCAAGTTCACGGAGGGCTGCTACGTCAAGTGCCGCGTGGTCACGTACAAAAAGGAGCAGACGGCCGCGGCGCTCGCCGCGGACGACGTCGAGGCCGGCGGCACGTACGCGCTCCGCTACGTCGACGGCCCCTTCGACCTCGACGACGACGAGGCGCTGTCCTGTGCCGAAACCAACCACTGGTTTGGGTGGTCCTGACCAAACTTGAGAATTCTCTAGCTCGGTCAAATCAAAGTCGATTCGGCTGATTTTTGGACGGATCGATCGCTCTCGTCGAGTTCTCGAAGCCCAGCCGAAGAGCTTGTGTCAAAACATTCGAATACGCTCACATTGAAGTCGGGTTGAAGATTTGGTTTCGGCACAGGCGCTGTCCGAGGCGGAGAAGGCGCGCTTCCAATGCGACGCCGACGGCAAACCCTTCGGCGACGACGAGGGCTGCCCGCTCGAGTTCAAGGACGTGCGGCGCGCGCACGTCGTCGTCGACTACCGGGACCTGCCCGCGAACTACTGGCCCGCGTTCATCGTGCTCGTGTCCGTCGTCGAGCTCGGCTTCTTCTTCTACTACGGCTCGAAAGCGGAGACGGGCATCTCCATGGCCGAGCCCGTCGGCGGCCCCGAGGACCTGTGGTTCCGCGTCTTCGAGCCCTTCTCGAAGGCGTCGGACCGGTGCGGCCGCGTGCGGCCCGGGTACCGCGTCTGGTCCTACTCGCTCGTGCACCGGGGCCTCCAGCACGTCCTCTTCAACACGGTGATCCAGTGCATCTTCGGCATCCCCATGGAGATGGTCCACGGCACGCGGACGCTGTTCCTGACGTACTACATGGGCGTCACGCTCGGTGCGTTGTTCGCGGCCGCGTGGGTGCCCTACGGGTCGCTCGTGGGCGCGTCGGGCGGCGTCTACTGCCTCATGGGCGTCCACATGGGCAACCTCGCCCTGAACTGGCGCCGCATGCACCGGGGCCTGCTCAACAACTGGCGGCGGCTGGGCATCTACGCGTTCCTGCTGGGCATCGACTTCGCGCAGT